TAGTTATTTCATTTAGTATTGAACATTTTTTATTCTATTTTTTTCTATTTTTTCAAAAATTCTACTCTCAAAAACTATATGTTTGCGAAACGCCACTCGAGCTATCCCTGTTGGAAGAAGAGTAGGATGGTTTGGCTCCCTCAGCAGCTGGCATTGCAGGCAATCCTGCCCACGAGGTTCCCCCGAAATTTGAACGGCTCCAACCCTATCGGTGCTTCGAAGAGTCCTAAAGACCTGGCTCTTTACCCGGGTCTTTGGCAAGGATGACCGATGCCCCTTTCTTCCTCCTTGTCCCCCTCTGTTTGTTTTCTTTACCCTCGTTGTACTTATGCCTTGTGCTTTTTTGTGTGTATTTTGTATTATTGTTGTTCTTAAATGTTTTTAATAATGGCAGACCACCCAGAGTCTACCAGGAGTCCGGCGGCATATAAATGGAATAAATTATCGTTGGTCAGTCGGCCACTGGATTTGGCATCTTTATCCCCCTATCGAATCCCTCCCACAGACCTGCGACAGGCAGATGTGGGATCCGGACACTGCCCACCGCACGCGCTGCTGCCTCAAGACAAAGAGAAGGAGGGGTTGGAAACGGCACGGCCGCGCTGTGCAGCTCCTTAGCTGTGCTAGAGTTTCGGCATCTTTGGAGTTACGATGCGCTCCTGCTGCACCCCTGTCCAACGGTCGTTACAGAAATTGAATTCACCTGATCGGGAAGGCACCTGTTCCGAGACGGCCCTACGCTTGAGGGCCATTCCGTGAAAAGGGCTGTTATTCCTTACAATGAGCAGGAGGGGAGGAAAGGGCTCCTCCCCACCCCCCAAGCCCGAAGCCAGCTGCTTCCTGCAGAAGTAAAAGCGAAAGCGAGGGTCACGCCAGAGGACGGTTAAAAAATGGAGAGGGAGAAAATCAAACGCGTCCTAGATGAGTTGAGCGGGGATGAATTCAAGGAACTTAAGTACTACTTAGAAATTGTTTCTACGGAGGAAGAGAGCGCTAGAAGCTCCCGCAAAATCAGTAGAAGTGCGCTGGACAAATCAAACAGCAGCTTCGGGCTTGCGGATCTCCTGGTGCAGCATTATACAGAGCGAGCCGTGCCAGTGCTCGCGGTGGCGCTAGAGCGCGTGCCCCGCCTGGACCTCGTCGGCAAACTGAGGGAAATGGGTGCAAAGCCTCGGGGTAAGTACCGAGGAAAGAGGAAGTGGGAAGGACCGAGTCCACCTCAGGGACCCAGCGACCTCTCGCCGCCCGGTGCCTTGCAGCGGTGCTGGACTACAACGCCTGTCATTCGCAACCACCCCGAGCTCAGGATGTTAGACCCTGCGATCCAGGGTACATTTGGGGAGCAGTCTTCCTCGCAGCAGGCTGGGGAAGACGACACCCGTCCTCCTGCCCGCCCACGACGGCCTTCCCCTTTCTTTCCTCCCTGGCTCAGTCCCAACATTTTCCCGCTGCCCGATCCGCGCCCTCTCTCGCCGTTGAACGCGGACCGCTCGCTTCCTTTTCCAGCCTCATCGGCGCTTACTTTCGGTGCCATAGCGCCATCCCGTGGCGGTCCAATACACGGTTGCCCCCTTTAAAATAAAATTATATCGGGACGTCTTTCGTTAGCATTGTAGAGAAATGACTGCGCTGTACTGTAGAGTCTTAGATTTGGGAGGAGGGTGCTGACTGCTGCGGGGAGGGCAGCGATGCAGGAGGGGTTGGACCAGATATTTCTGCTATTTTCTTGAACCCACCATAACCCATTGGCTTTCTCTTGATGCAGAGTATTTTTATGCCCTTGTTCTAACAACAACTGGTGTAAAGCAGTACAGGACCTTTAGAGAGTAACTGTGAAAACACTATACAGGCATCAATAACTCAGGTATTAACATAAAACTGTAGCATCTCAACTTTCTGTCTGTGTCTCTCTGTTGGGCAAGAACCAAGTGCACCCAAGCCATCAAAAACACCTTGTAAAAGGGAATGTGAGGATGCTCCTGAAGATGAACCACACCTGGTAAGTCAGGCTATTCATTTTTCAGAAGAGTTGGGGCATTTAAATTCATGGTTCTTTGCTGTTTCGTGGCGATTCTTCATATATTTATCAAGTACTGCCTGTTTCTTGGTTTAGGAACAGGAGGTGTTCTGTCTATAGTATTTCCAGCCATCATCATCTTTTGGGATGGGCAGTCCCTGTAATATGTTGCAGTAATGACCCTTTGCACTTTGTAAGATTCTTTTAAAAGTAAAAACTGATAACAAGTTATTTATTTTTTGAGTTAGTCATAAAAAACCTTGCATATATAACTTGGAATGTTGGTCAAGTTTAGAGTCCGAAAGTTAAAGAATTCACAATTAGAGCAAGCCATGTGTTACTTGTGGACCCTCCCACTCATGGAGTTGTGAGATTGACTGGCACTAGAGGCAGAAATGGGGGACACCAATTTTCCTGGCACTTCAATGATATGCTTCAAGAACCCACTTGACCACCACCATTTCAGCACATGTCCTTCTTGGAACATGGACTTCAAAAGCATCTTCTTTGCGTTCTAGGAGCTGGAGATCCCTTCTTCGGTGCCAGCCCAGTCACCCCATTTTACTAATTTTTTGCATTCATTTTAGATTTTAATTAAGGAAAAGCTGTGAGGCCTGGATGCACAGTGCCAGTCTCAGCCATTCTGTTTATTGGCCCTGGGGCCATTTTGATTTAGAAACATGCCGGAAAGGGCTCAGGCCTTTCTTAGATAAAGACAGGCAGCTGTGGCAACAACATCTGCAAAGTTGATATAACTTCCTGAGGGGTGCAGAGACATGTCGGAAAATAATCCATCTCTGCCATCACAAACAAAGATGCAGAAAGTAATTCTTTCTTAATGCCAAACTTTTATACTGCCAAACAGGAATGATTTTCTCATTACAGATGACTTTCTTTTGTAGGAAATGTTCACAGTTTTAGTAGTTTTCAATAGGTGGTACCTACAGTGGTTAAGATGCACTTATTCAGTGATAAAGAAATGCTTCCTCTTTTTTTTCCTATGGGTTGCCAACACAATGCCCCCTCCCCAGGCCCCTTAATACCAGTAGTATCATGACATTGCTGCTACTCCTAGATAGTATCCACAAGGCTCCCCAAATTATAAACAAATGAATTAATAAAAAGCCCCAAATTCATGACATCACAAATCTTGCAAAATAAATGAAATGCCAAATTTTCATAAGATATCCTGGGGCTAGATTACTGAAATCTCACAAGACTTTGGATATTTTATTTTAGTATTGCTCCATCACACAAAATCAGGTCTGGTTTCTGATCCCTGAAAACATAATGCATGATGATCCCGTTCATTCATTTCTGCTTTATGCTCAGTTTCATGGACAAGTTGCTGAACTTTGTTGCTTTGCCATCTAAGAATGTGCAATTATAAAGAAATTTTTTGGTCAGATTTGTGTCATAAACACTTGGAAACCTCACTTTTTTTTTTACCCTCATAAGTTTAACTCTTGGAAAACAGAGGTTTTCTGACTGGCCATGGCTATTCTGTGAATGGACAAGTCAGTTCTTGCTGCTGACTGAATCAACTGATGGACGTGATCAAATTGTTTTTACTGGGAATCCTGTCTTTTCTGATGTTCTTGAGAATTTAAAAGCTTGACTGATATTTTGAAAACCTTCAACTGACTTTCAACAAATATTCCACAATCTTTTTCAGGAACGCTATGAAATGCGCAATCGGCGTGTTGCCTTCATGATGTGCGTAACGAAAAACAGAGATGGCTCCGAAGAGGATATTGGAAAAATGAAAAAACTGTTTGAGAAATGCAGGTTTATTACCCCTTTACAAGACTGCATAAATCCTTCCAAAGAGGTAAGTTCTTAAAATCGCACTTTAAGAAGGGATCTTCAGAGGTTTATAGTGAATTGCCAAATGTTGTCACAATATTAAGGCCAGGAATGCATTAAATATTGAAGAATTAATTCAGTAAACATTAGCATCCACAGTAACACTGATAGCAGATTTCAGAATTTCAAACCATTAAAAATTAACATGATTCATATGCAGTGGTACAGTTGTACCACTAAGAAATTAACTAGTTCTTTCCATCTGTGAAATTTAAAAACTATAATATGGCTATGAATTGGCCACTTCCCTAGTCAAAGGGGCAACAAAGAAGGAAGGATGGAAGATTCCATCCATCCTTGGTTGTTTCTGTGCTTGTCATTAGGAAAAAGGCTTAACTCTATCTTCTTCTATCAACCTTCTAAAAAAAAAATAGCCTGCTAGAATTCTAGCCACCTGAGTTTCTATGGGAAGGGAAAATTTCCTCATCCATTTTGCTGCTAGCTTGTTAACAAGCTAGAAATCCTGTCAGTTTCAATACCAAGATGGCCTAAAAAAAACCCTGCATTAATGAACATAGAATAGTGGTTTTGGATTACAGAACTGAAGAAAAACTAAATCCTTTCTCATAGACGAGGAAGCCAAGAGCGCTTGAGAAGTTGCACCATTTCCTCCCAGGACAAACAGCACAGGGAGACAGCAACTTGGAGCTTCCATTGTCCAGAGGAGTTAGTGCAGGAAGCTTGTTCTCCCCTCCCTGTCAGGAAGAACATCGGCCTCAACTGCCAACTGCCCTAGAACTAGAGAGCTTATGGAAAGCACATTCTGGCCTCTAGCACTGCTCAGGTGACTCAGAGTCAACAACCAGACTCATACCTGGTTGACTTGTATGGACTTCAAACATAAGTCAGATCAGGCCTGGTTAGGACTTGAATGGGGGACTTTCAAGGAAGCAGGATTGTATGCTAGATGGAAATCAAAGGATATTCTGAAATGAGGCGATCACAAAGCATGTGTACACTGCTGCCAAGAAGACTGCTTGTATGTGACCATCAAGTCAACACAGGTCAGGTTTGACTTGAAGAAAACTTTATTTTCGGGCTCTAGACAGTGTGTGTATGTTCTGGATATCTAGTGATACCCAGAACAGCAGCCATGGAAGTTTGTTCAAAACAAAGTAGAGAGTTATGCAGTTCAAGATTATATCATATTGATTGGGTTATAAATGTTAACAGACTGGCACTGGAACCTGAATTTGCTTCTTTTCCTTTTGATTCACCATTCCTTATTCCTTTTGTTTCTTGTCTATTTATGACCCTGGCAAAGCAACTGTTTTATCTTTTAATCTCTGTGTAGCAGTTACAAAAGTTATGTGTTATATATGTGATTTGTAATATTCTTGGCCACTTTAACAGAAATTAATGGACGATCTAAAAGAGTTCCAGAAGTATATCAACACCTCGACTGAGGAGATCAGCTGCTGCCTCATTACCCTTATGAGCCATGGAAAACAAGGCATTATTTTGGACCCGGATAAGAAAGAAATAATTCTGGATGAAATATTTTTACTTTTCAACAATAAAAACTGTCCTAAGCTCCAAGGAAAGCCTAAAATATTTATAATTCAAGCCTGCCAAGGAAGTCAGTACACTTCAAACCTGTTGCATGCATTGAAAAATATTGTTATTAATATAATCAAGACATTTCTGTTTTTGCCAACTGATTGTTCGTTTTGTACTTCTGGTGCACTATACAGAAATTTGAGGTCTGCACATGAATTTCAAAAGAATAGATCAGAAAATTAACCTTTGGGCAGGGAAAATTGCTGGCACTTAATGGGTAACAGATTATTATCTCTTTTTTTAAAACAAACTTTATTATTTAAAAAAACAAACATATAACCATATAATTATAAATAAATTTATATACATAAAAATTACACATAGAACAATACATACAGCGATTTCCAGATCTCTTCACAGTGAATCTATTACTATTAATTTACTATTTTCTTGTCTCATTATACTATTTTATATACTTATTCCACTTCTATATTACTATTACATTAAGTATCAGTTATTTTTATATTTTGTGATTCTTCTGTGTAACTCAAGAAAGGGAACCATTCTTCCATAAATTTATCCACATCTTTATCTTTTAATTGGTCCGTTAACTTTGAGCAGATTATTATCTATTAAGGGAAAATGTGGCTCACTTGTTTTTGGCTTAGCATGTTATGTTAACCCATCCAATTGTCACCTTCAGATGATTGTGGTTAAACAAACTAGAGTTTACCAGTTGTGAACTCAGCCAGAGTTGACAGATAGTGAGAAAAGGCATTTGTGCTGCAAGTCAGGGAAAGAAATTGATGTGTGAGAGAGCTTCATCATAAGGGCCAGCCTTGTTCAATGGTGGGGAATGATGAAAAGAGCCTGAAAATCTCTTGTTACAAGGTAATATAGGCCTGTCTAAAGTAATGAATGAAGAAGCTTTTGCTATTGGGTTTCTCCTACAATGGTGGCTTGACCTGGCCCTTGGTCCTTATGACTATCCTCAGCACAACTATCTTGTGGGTGTGCAGTTCTCAACAGAGTAGGCAATATGCCATTCAACTGCTTTTTGAGTCTCTCAGCTCAAGGCTCTTAAGGCTCTAATCATCTTTTCTTACAGTAGTTTTTAATCAGTTCCACTAAACACATATTCCCCAAAGACCTCTGTGGTCTGAGGTGAGTTTATTCTCTAAATAAAATGAGGGAAATAATAGTTAATAATACCAAAGGCATCACTTGTATGATGAACAAACCCTCATTGTCTCAAATACATTTTTCACTGTACTGATAGGCTTAGCAAGTACCCATGAAATAGAGGGAATTGGCTAGTTATTGCAATTATGCTAGAAGTTGTCTACTCTTTATGCCTTCTTGTATCCATGTTTGTTTCCAAAAGAGTCTACTGAGTTTGGATAAACTTGCTTGCTTGGATTTAGTGTGTATAGGCTTACAGCTTTTAATACACAGGCTCCCTCAAATTTGAGGCTTGGCAAACTTGAACCCCTTTTCCTTAATCCATAATCACCAAAGAGTTTCTCAGGTTTATGAATACTTTACTGTCCTGCCTTTGACATTGAGTGAGAGTTCCTCTCCCCAGCTTATTTCTAGCTTTAATTCAAGCTGAAGAAAAACTTTACCTGAATGAAGCTATGAACATTTGTGTCAGTCTTTTGAGGTAGACCAGACTTGAACACCAAAGTTATGAACACTAAAACTGCTTTTATTATGGGGTTACAGTAACAGAATCTCTGAATATGCCTCCCTCCTCCTTGCCTTTATCGTAAAGAGAACTAGGGAGGGTCAAGCCTGAGACATTTTCTCAAATTCCAGTCTTCTTCTGGACTCAGATTTCTCTTATCTGACCATTGCCTTGGCTGCGGCTTTTCCTCCTGTTCCTCAAGGTCATTTTCACAGCCCATTACAATTTGTTGCTGAGAGCTCTGTTCCATGATTGGCTGAAATATTCATGGATTTCTATAATATCACATCAACTTCTCCAGTTTAACTGTTGACCGTGTTTAAGGTGTAGTGAAGGACTTGATGACCATGATGTTAGCATTCATACAAATTTGGTGAAAGCAACTGTATGGTCTTAATTACAAGTATTTCCATCTCATAACACAGATGACAGAGACTATGGAATAGTAGAAGCAGATGATAAGATTGAGAAATTTCAGCAACAGCGGAAGCTGCCTACAGCCAGTGATTATTTTATTGTATATTCCAGTCAAAAAGGTAAGAGTAAATCAAAGGACTGCCATCAATGAATGCATACTGTATATATACCTCAACTCCATTGGCAAAGAGCTGCAAGTTCCACAGTACTTAGAGTGCAACTGTTTCCCATAATCGTGATTAAGCCACACTGTTCTTAACTGGACGGACTCTTGAGTTAACGTGGATAGGGTTTGCACAGTTAATGTTGTTAAGATTAGGGTGAATTTCTAAAGAGTAATTATGAAGCATCCAAAGCTAGAAGAGTTAGAAAGTTTCTTCTCATGTCTGCTAAACCTTCTTCAGGTATCATTCCCTTAGGAGAAGGGATTGCTAAACTTTTGGAAACTCTATAGTTTGAGAAAAAAATTGGCAATATTGCCAGAAAGGCCATTTTTTTCTTCTGACACCTAACTTATGTAACCTAGCAATGAAAGTCCATAGATCTTTTTTTGTTGTTTGCTTTAACCCATCAGTACTTGCTTGTTGCTCCAGTGAGTTGTGTCATAGCAGGGCTCATAATGAATTATTCCTGTAATGCAGGGATATCAGCTGCTGTGTACTTGGGACTCTTCTACCATCTAGACAGGAGGTTTTCAAACCCCTCATGGCCCAGAATGTGGGGCCTTGCATTTCCTCTCTTGTGGCTACTAACGTGACATTGTGTCATAATACTTCACTTATCTTGTAGCACACAAGTCCCAAAGGATGCCTTGTATTTAGAACAAGGGAGTCCAGTATTGTCTAGGACAGAGATGTCTATAGGCCAACTCCTGTGCCCTTCAGGAAAAGCAGTCTCATCTTTACCGCTAAAGCAGATGGTTGTGGAGTGGAGTTTATAGTAGAACACTGTAAACCATGCAGCTTTACTACCTCTTGATCCTGTAGGTCTGCTCTAAAGCAAAATGATCTTTAGTTCAGACTTCCCCTCAAAATGTTTTGCATATCATCCTGTAGAATTGGGCTGATATCCTAGTTCACTAATTTACACAGCAAAATTTCCTGATGCATCAAATCTGAATTTTAATTCCATGTACTGGAAAGAAAAGGCTATATTTGAAAACATCATTCCCTAATATACACAAAAAGTAGAGGCACAGTTCTGATACACTTCAGTTCCATTAATGTTATTGAAATGTCCAGAAATGGATTAAAAAAATAACAAGCCACTCTTTCTTATTTCAGGATTCGTGTCTTTACGTAACAGTAATACAGGCTCAGTAATGATTACTGCTATGGATGAAGTCTTTTCAGCTCATTGGCAGAACTGGCATGTTGGGGATCTTTTCACAAAGGTAAACTTACATTAATTGGCTGTGCACAAATTATGAAAACCTGTTCTTTATTCCTCATTTATAAGCAGATAAAGGTGATACTGAATTCCTCTGCCTCTTTATAGCCCAGAAGGATTCCATCATGTCTAAGAAAGCAGTGTTGAGAAATCTATTAAATATAAGCTAGCTGAGTATATGCAAACCCTGTGCATATAAGCAAGCTCTCTGAATCCCAGTCTATTTGATCATCTCAATATTCCATTCCTGAATCTGTGACCGATATCTTTTTGCCAGGACTTTTCAAGGTGGAGAATTAGTTATCTTAGTATGGCTTTAAGCCTGGGTCTGCATAAAATCTGTTTCAGTCACCCAGGTTGCCAGTCTACACTGAAAGCTGGATTGTTGGTACATACCTTTGTTGGCTATACTGGATTACCTGCGATCTGTTTATACCATGGCTTCCAACTTTTTGGTAGATAAGAGCCATCTGTGGGCTTTGCATGGTGCACTGGGTGCCATAATCCTCAAAATCTGCAAGGGATATGATATCAGTGAACTCAGGGCATCAATCTTGTCCCATAAATATCTCCTCAAAACCAGGGAAAAACAGTTTAATTTGGAAGGGGGGAGATCAGGATTTTGAAAGCAAAACGGGTGCCTCAAGCCTCTGAAAGACTTAAGGCATCCATTTTATCCTTTCAAACTTCTGGAAATACAACAGAAGATTTGAACATTTGAGACTCAGCCAGATGGAGACCCAGGGAGTCACAATGAGAATCCTAAAGACATAAGCATCCTATAGGGCACTGACTGCTTAGACCTGATTCAAAAGAATCTCAGAGGCAGAGCTGAGGAAGACCTCTGTCTGGCACTAAGGAGAAACCTTGCCCACCAAAGCAGAGAATTCTAGCCTAAATTGGCTAATGTTTCAGTTTAATACAAAACCACATCATATGTTCTGTTCAATATGCATTAAAATGCACCATGACTGAGCAAGACCTCTTGTGCAGCTCATATTCATTCAGTACACCACCATTCTGGCCTATGGTGTCAACACATACTTAGCTGTGTATTATCTTCTCTCCCAGTAGACTTCTAACTTAACAAATGTACATCCCATTCCTTCATTAAAAGGCAATGTCTGTTATTACTTCACTTGCTCCAAAATGTGGTAAACCAGCCCTCTTCTGTTTGAGGACCTTTATGGTCATTCCACTGAGTGGCATTCACTTCCTGGTCCTGAGGTAATAGCTCCATTGTTCTGTCCCCAAAGTTAAAAATAGATAACAATATCATGATCAGTAATCAGATTCTGAACAATTGCATACAGCTCTGATTAGCTTAGCATAATAGATCCTTATTTAATGATTGTATTTCTATTAGTATTTATTAATTCTAATGAGATACACAGTATAACTACAGTGTCCATAAGAAAAAAAGCGGGGGGAGAAAAGAACGAAAGTAGAAAAAAAAACTTCAGAGTCTAATCTTTCAGTTTGCTTTTAATAATATTTTTGCCTTTCTGATTTTTTTTCCAGGTTAACGGCATGATGGTGAAACAAGAGTTTCGTTTGGCAAATGACACGGATACAGTGAAAGCCTGTTTAGTAACAGAATCCACTCTTACCAAAGCTGTATTTTTAAAATAAATTTCTATAATTATATAAGCTAACGTGGTTGGATAAGGACATCCATTTAATCTTTTAAAGTAGATTTTAAATTTAATAGCTTCATTAGAATAGCTACTCATTTATATTTCTTGCTTTCCACAAATTGGAGATCAGATAAGGCATTGAGAAAGAGATTTTCTTATTAAAGTCAACTTCATATTACATAAAGCTAGAAGGGTTCAGGGCTATAGTGATCCAAATATGACTCCTAAAATGGGGCTGAGGGAGTACATACTATGGATTTATCATTCATAATGGACAGATTCTTGTGATTTACCTACTAAGTGGATCTTTGATACAAACCCAGGATTATCCAAAGTTTAGGCAATTTTAATTAAATTTTGGCAGGTATTGTAAGTTTCGGCATTTCATTCCATAGGAAGGGCGGCTATCTCTCTTTTCTTGATTGACATCTGTGGTTGAACTCAAAAATCAGCGCTTTTTGTGGAAAAGATTTTATATGATCTGCAATAAGCAAGTAGGCTGGACCTTTCTTAGTTTTTAGCTATGAAGACTAAATTTTAGTCACTAAGAGTATAATGTTAAAACTGAAACAAATGAGAGCATATTTATTGCTGGTGCAATCTTTATAATGCTCTCATTTGTTTCAGTTTTAACATTATACTCATTCAGTTAATTCTCTTTCTTGATCTGTTTTAAGTTTTTCATTCATAAGAACAATAGCTGCCATATTGTTATTAAAGTATTGTAACCATTTTTTTAAAAGTTTTTAAAAATGTTAATCTAGATGCCTTCTTCATGTATTTCTGATATTTGAACAGATACATTAAATAAAGGGAAAAATAATGGATCAGGCTTGGTCCTTCTTTCATAAATCAGTTCCTAGAGTAGAACCTTGGAAGAATGTAAGGACTACTACTGCCAAGAAACTATTTTGAAATGTCTTTTGTTTATAAAACATTAACCTTTTCCAGTGTTTTCTGTGTTTATTTTTTTCTGTATGGAATTTATAGTAAAATAATTTATACAGTGGGTTGTACTTTGAAACACACATATTGTTCAATACATACAATTATATTGAACGCTTTTATCGGTGAAGTTTAAAATTATTGTTTATTATGTTGTTCATATGCAAATATGAATTTCATCCTTTTTATCTTATAATTTGATGACCTGCCAAAGAAAATATCTCCAATAACATGTAGGGCAATTATGGTGAAAGGCCAAGGTTTTTCTGACCCTGCATGTGATCTTAGTCTGTCAAATAAAGGAAGCTTTCCTCTTCTGTCAGACAACAGAGTTTCTGATATATGGAGACAAGACCAGTGGCAGATACCAAGCCTCCAGCCTGAACTGGAGTTGGGGAAGGTGCGGGGAATCAACAACTGAAGAATCTAGAAAGTTCATCAAAATGATGAAAAGACATCATGCCATCATGATGCAAGCTCTATTCCTATGTTTGTTCATGACACCTGTATAAAAGGGATCGTGACACCTGTATAAAAGGTGACCCAGCTTGCACATTTATCATTTGCTCTTCTCTCTGGATGTCTAGAAGAAAGCAGTGGCAAACTATTTCCATTTTGTGTTCGAGAAAACTCCATGGACAGGTTGATGAAATTACCAATAATTGAGCTGGAGTCAACAGTGACTTTATCTTCTTTAAGTAAATTTATAGGAATGCATTTACTGTTTTTTGCATTCACATTTGGTTGAACTTGCTGTTGTTCAATTACAGCCATGTGCTTCAGGCCCTTTATGCATAATCTATAAACACAGAAATAGCCACATTCATGTGCAAAGAAAAGAGTAGAGTGCAATCAAGGTGAATCTAAAAAGAAGACGTTTGGCCTGAGTTTTCACTGACACTTGAAGGTTCCTATTAACTTAAAATATTTAAATCCTGTATTATAGTGTATGCATTCTTGTTTTGTTATTTTATTAGGCCTGAAGGCCTCAGAGGTTGGAAGCAGCCTGATTGTCTTTACCTATTTTGGGGTGTACACCACTGTTCTTTTGATTAGCAATAGTGGTAACTAAGATGCTTCAGTGGTGATATAAGCACAAGATGGCAGCCACCTTTCTTCCTCACTTTTCTTCCCTTCGTTCCCAACTATGATTGCTACTAAAATTATCACTCCTTATTATATAGATGGAGGTAAAACAGCACTATGATTACTGCATTAAGAACAGAAGTTGTGTTCTCCAAAAAGAAAGGGAGAAGGGAGGAGAGCAAGAAAATTTAATTTAATTTACATGAGCCAATATCAAAAACTTAGTCTTCCTGACATGACAAGACCAACAAAAAGTAAATGCTGCCTATCATCTATAATCAGTGACCAAGCTGGATATAAAACAAAATTTTGCAGTTGATTTCTTATCTCTTAAGAGAAGTACATTTAGGGTTGGGAAATAGGAATAATTTTAGGAACAGGAAGTAAGAGGAGGATGTGATTGCTCTTCCTGTTAGCTCTCCCAACTATGCATTTTTTGTCCTTTGTTTTTTGCTTCAGTGTGGTCATGGTGCTGTGAGCCATGGTCTTCTGGATATTGAGTGAGCAGCCGAGTTTTGCAAGTTTGCCCACAGCTTGCATTGGGAGTTTTTATGCAGCTATTGGAGTTGGCTTGTGGTGACAGAGACCCAGCCAACTGGGAGAAGGAGAAGAAGGTGGAGGATTGCAGATTGTAACAGCTACTGCTAGTAAGGGCCACATGGTGTATCCATGCATGACCAAGTCCCCCCAGTTCCTTGGCACTCATTATCCCTCTAATCTGTTAGGACAAAGATCTTGCAGCTCCCAACATTGGGAGCACATAACATCAAGAATGCAGGCCTTGCACCAGCTGCTGATTGGTTTCCAAGTACAATTTAAGCAAACTGGCAGGTTTGGAAGTGGTGTGTCTGAGATCCAAGGGGGATCTTAAATTCACAAAAGCTCAATCTCTCAAATCTGACAAAGGCTTGGAAGCATTGGAAATAATTATTCCCAAGAATGAATAATGAAACAAGAATTAAGACTAGGAAAAAATGACCATTCTCAAGATAAACTCATTACAAATTTACCATCCAAATTTCATTAAGTACAGGGCAGCTTATTGGAAATAACTTAAAAATAACAATTATTAACCTACTTTTGAATATTGAGTGACAGAAGCCCTTGTTAAGCTCCATGGAAGTCTCACTGCTGACTGACTTTAAACTTGGGCTAATGGATGCTTACAGACCAAGAGCCAAAGGCAATCTCTCATGGAGATCTCCTATAATTATTAAATTTGTCAAGTCTAGCACTAGAGTTCATCTTTCACAATCCTCAAGACAATTGAAACACTGTAGAGGTACAAGTCAACCAATCAATCAAACTTGATTATGGGTCATAAATCCAGGCTGTGTACAAGAAAGCGCAGTATGTGATACAATATAGCATGCATAGTAAAAAGGCCTCTAATTGTGCTTGGTCTACTTTGCTGTGCCAGCATCTTGGCTTCAATGAATTTCAAAGTAGCTGGTACATACTACAACGTACAGAGCGAACCTCCAGAGAAAAAGAAAAGATTGCTGCTGAATTCCTTTGAGCATTCAGAGAAATCTGGGCGATACGAGTCTATTGCTTCCCTGAATAATGTAGCATGAAACCCAGGTACTTAAAACAAGGGATTCCTTCCACTTGGGTCCTCCAAGCATCCAGCGTAGTTTTTTGAAGCCCCTTGAAAATGCTTGGCCTTTGTTTTCTCAGAGTTAATTTGTAAATAGTGTTGCCTACAGAAATGGTCCATGGCTCTTCTAAGACCTACTGGTGTGTGTCTGTGACAGTATAACAGCATCATCTCCGTAGAGCAGTACAGATATAGATCTATTGGCCAGTTTTGGGGGAAGAAACTCTTCCTTGCTCAGGAGCCAAAATACATCCTTGTTTAATCCCCTTGCTGTTGGCCTCATGTCTGAGAGGGGCCCAGCTATAGTGCATCTCCCCATCAAACTGGTGTTCTTGTAGAGTGCCTGTAATTTGGTGAGTATCTGTCAATTGTAGATGCTTTGAGTTTGTTTCAAAGAGTTTCTCTAAAGATGGAGTCAAAGGCCTTCTAGAGATCTACAAACAGGACAAAAAGGCATGATTTCGGTGGCTGAGTGTATTTTTCAATCAAATGGGAGAGTATCAGCCCTTGATCAAACCCAGAGCCACCTACCTAGCCTATCTTGGACTAATCTTGTAGTTCTGATTCAGGACCAGCTCTATCATGGCCTGTTCTATATTTGCTAAGATATCAGGCTGCTGTCCACAACTGCAGCAGAGCTTGCTAGTCCACTCTGGGTATAAATTAGGATGTTGGACTGCAAAGTGCTTAAAGTAAAATCTGAGGCGAATTGGAGAAACAGCTTTTTGAGGATGCGTATATGCCAGTGTTGTTCAAACTTGGCCACTTTAAGATG